TGGCATGTGGTGCTGGGGGATTGAACCGCGGTCCCTGTGCTGTGCTAAGCTTGTTCTAAGTAGGTGCTTTAAACCACTGAGCCATCTCACCAGCCCCAAAGGGCAGGGTTTAGATTCATCACTAAGAAATAGTGAACAACTTACACTCCTGGCTTAAAGGAACTCTGCTGCAGTCTTACTACTAACTGTTAAGAATAAAGTCATTTTACAAATATTCTAGCCTAACCCATTTCTGACCAAAAAATTTAGAGTATTTTGAAATAGTCACTGTGACTAAAAATCGTCTATATCAACATTTCTCCAAAGCATTCACGTGCCTGATACCACATAAAGCACCATGGAGAACTCAAGGACACACCGTCTTTTTTTTGGAACCAGGGATTGAACTCAGGCCCTTGTGCTTGCCAGAGAAGCGCTTATTCCACTCAACCATCTCCCTAGCCCCCTCTTTTTCTTTCTTTTTTTTTTTTAGTAACTTTTAAACGTTAAAATAATTTTATTTTTATTTATTTATTTATTTATTTATTTAGGTACTGGGGATTGAACTCAGGATCCTGCGCTTGCCAGGTAGGCGCTTATTCTGAGCTATCTCCCCGGCCCCCAAAATTATAATAAAGTATGATTTACAGAGAATAAAATAAAATTGTAAGGACATAGATGAAAGAGTTTCTTTTTTTTTTTTTTTCCGGAATTGGGGATTGAACTCAGGCCCTTGTGCTTATTCTACTGAGCTATCTCTCCAGCCCCGATGAATGAGTTTCTAAACAAACACATATATCCAACTAGCCACAACACTATCAAAATACAGAAATTTCTCTCTCCTCAGAAGTTCCTTCACATTAGGACCGGGGAGATGGCTCAGTAAATAAGTACTTTCCTGGCAAACTCGAGGGCCTGAGTTCAATCACCAGTTCTGCAAAAAAAAAAAAAAAAGTCCCTTCACACATTAGGCCTATCTCAACCTCTATCCCACATAGGGACCCAACAATCTGATACTCTCTCTACATTTTTGCAAGTCCCAGAATTTCACAAGGAACATTCCAGTGCACAGATTCATCTGTTGGTGGACATTAAGGGCACTTTCAGGTTTGATTGTAATGAATAAAGCAACTATGAAAATTCACATTCAAGTCTTCGGTGGGTATCTTTTTTTTCTCTTGGATAAGTATCTAATAAAAGAACTGCTGAATCTATCATATGGTCAAAACATATATTTAACTTTGTAAGAATCTGCCAAGTGGTTTTCCATTTTAAAGGCCTGTAAACCCACTCTTGTAATGAAATAGTAATATTACTACAGTTTTCATTCGGGTTTCCCTAATGATTAATGTTGAGCACCTTTTCTTTGTGCCTCGTTATGACTTCTTTAGTGAAGAAGTCTATTGAAGTCTTTTGCTCATTTTTACAGTTAGACTGCTTGTCTTCTTGTATTAAGAATTATTTGCGGCTGGGGAGATGGCTCAGTGAAATAAGTGCTTCCC